CCCTCCGACAGCCAAACCCATCTGTTCTCTGATTGGATTGTTTCATTTGTGATTGACATGACATTGACCAATCAGCTTAAAGGAAGAAAAATAGGGTCAAAATTCGTAGTTGTAACTTGCAGGGTTTTTTTGGGCTAAGTCCACACACAAATCTTTTTTACACATACAAAACCGATTTACAAGTACAAAATATTTATGACCACATTTTGAGCCCGTATACTCGGGCTTCTGAATTGTGAGTGAATCGTGTTTGTGTGTGTGTGTGACCATCCAGCCGGGTCGGATGGCGGTCTCGTGGATCTGTCAGACGTCCTGAACACCAACCCTCACATCCTCGCCACCGGACACACAGGTACTCCCATCAGCCCCTTCACCCTCTGCCCACTCAGGGACCACACCAACGAAGAAGAGCTCACACCATAACTGTGTGTATTTGTTTCCAGGTCAGTTCCAGGTGGAGCGCTCCCCGTCTCCATTTGGTAAGACTCCCCAGGAAGACCACCTCCTCCTCCTCCTCCTCCTCCGTCTCACTTTGGTTCAGTTTTGTGTTTCTGGATGGCCAAAATAAATTTAATAAACTACAAAATGAAACGGCTGCAGTTCCTCTGACATCCAGCAGAGGCAACAGCCTGGAGCCTTCTGAAACTTTTCTTCCTCTTCTGCTCCTGTTTGTTCTCCTCCTCCTGTCCTGTGATATAACGGCCTGAATCATCTTCTTCTCCTGCAGAGATCAGACTCATTCTTCTTCTGCTGCTTCCTGCTGACCTCCAGTCTGTCCATGCATCTGTCTCTCTTATTTAACCCCCTTCCCCTCTCTCAGCAGGTCTGGACATCAGCTCTGTGGCGCATGATGCCTCTTTGACTTCTGAGCCAATGGGAAGCAGTGGGCGTGTCCAGAGGGCAATGCAGGAAGAGCCTCTGGACGCCATCTTGAGTCCTGAGCTTGATAAGATGGTCACCGATGGTGAGTTGAAGAGGGTCTGAGAAGCAGGAAACAGGAAGTGCTCACAGATTCTAGAGCATCTGATTGACGAGTGTTCTTCTGTTTCAGGTGCCATCCTTAGCAAGCTCTACAAGATCCCAGGTAAGACCGAGCACCTGTGTGGGCGTCAGCGCCATACGTCAGCCAAGGGTTTATTAATCTAACTAAGATGATTGACCAATCAGAAACAGGGACAGGTCAGCTGACAGCAGAGCGACTGAAAAGGGAAGTTGGCACTTGGCTTCAAACGTATTCGTTATTAAATGTTGAGCAGCTGCTTCTGCACAGACAGCATCACGTGGATACAAGTGATGCTGTCATGACCTCGTTAGTCCCGTTGATGAGTCGGTGCTCGTCACCATCACGCTGTCATTGAAAGCTCATGTCACGTCATCCATGCTGACCGATGCTGGTGTGTGTGTGTGCGCAGAGCTGGAGGGAAAGGACGTGGAGGAGGTGTTCACTGCTGTCCTCAGTCCAGACAGCAGCAACAGCCAATCAGAGCAGAGTCAGCACACACATGCGGCTGCTGGGAGCAAGATGCACAACACAGGTACAGACACGCACAGGTACACAGTGACCTCTGTCTGAAGGCGTTGGTGATATTTCAGAATAATAAAAACTACAAACATGTGAGCCGTGTTAAGTGGCGATGTCACTAACGTCATGTAACCAAAGGTTAGCTGAATTTAACTGTCTCAGTTTCCTCGTTATGCTGACATTTGTCTGCTCGATGTTTGAGTGAGATACAAACTCATGACGCCGCTTTGCTTCGACCGTCCACCATTTTTCTCAAACATTTCTTCGACCTGCAGCTGTCTCGCCATCGTTTTTGTTGATAAGTATGAACCTAAAAACAGTTTGAGGGTTCGACTGAGCTCTCTTTGAACCTTCCAATCACCTCTGATCACCTGTATTGATCACCTTTCAGGTGCCGTGCCGTTTCCTCGCCTCCCACTGATGAACGGCCTCTCACCAGCTGCTCCTCCTATGATGCCCGGTGTCCAGGGTCCAGTCAGCTTTAGGGTCCTCCCTACCGAAAACCCCGCCCCCATCCAGGGCCCCACCTCTGCATTAGTTCCAGCCAATCAGCAGGCTCCGGCTGGTGAGGGCGAGCAGGATGCGCTGTCAACGGCTCAGAGGAGCACGCTGAAGTGGGAGAAGGAGGAGAGTCTGGGAGAGATGGCCACCGTCGCTCCGGTGCTCTACTGCAACACCAACTTCCCCCAGCTTAAGCAGCAGTACCCAGGTACACACACACACACACACACACACACACACACACACACTGTGTTCAGTGTGTTGACAGAGCTAACAGCTGTTTCCTGTATCAGACTGGCCCACCAGAGTGAAGCAGATCACCAAGCTGTGGAGAAAGGCCAGCGCTCAGGACAGAGCCCCCTACGTGGTGAGTTCCTCCTCCTCCTCCTCACTGTGTGGAGGACTCTGAGAGCTGAGGAAACGTTATAAAAGCGTATAGGAGCCTGTTCATAGGACCTTCGTCCTGTCAACAGGCCCTTGTGTCCTTTTGAGTGGTTTCCAGAGTGTTGATCAAAGGTGTCCATTTGAAGCAGCAGGGTCATCTTCCAGCTCCGGACCCTTCAAGGACGATCAGGTGCGATCAGTGTCCACACTGTCACAGTGTCCTTGTTCTGTAACAGTGTGGACACTGATTACAGTGGATCTGATCCCAGTGCTGTAAAGATTAGGAACTTTGAGCCACGTGCGTGCTCATCAACCATGATGGCGTTCGTTTAGCGTCCTCGCCATCTCTGACCACGTGCTGTTTTCCCTCTGCAGCAAAAAGCTCGGGACAATCGAGCGGCTCAACGTATCAACAAAGTGCAGCTGTCCAATGACCCGCTCAAACGCCACCCGCCCTCACAGCAGCAGCTGTCCGCACCGCTGGGACCCTTTGACACTGTTTCCATGGAGATAGAGATGCCGTTCAAGGACCCGCTGAGGCCCAAGGAGTCGGAGCAGGAGCAGGAGTGGAAGTTCAGACAGGTGAGCAGAGCCCGAGAGCGCCACACGTCCAGGTGTCCGTTATGGTGACGTAGCAGCAGAGCGAGAAACCAACAACCAGACTCTAGTCAGAAAACACCTGATTTACCAGAAACACACTTTAGTGATGCAAACAGCAGCGCAATGCATGATGGGACACAGAGCGCTGCCTGCTGGTTGTAGACACACTGTGAGGGTGCTCTTTAAAATTAGTCACGCAAATGTTTCTGCACAACAAGTCAGCAGGCTGCACGCCACCGCTTCAACCTCGAGACCGTCGCGCAGACTACATCGCCATAGAAACAATCCGTACTCACTCAAAGGCTGGCGCTGGTTTCCAGCTCTCAGTAGTAACCATGGTAACCAGAAGGCAGCACGCCGTGGGGTGTATTTGTGATAAAGATGATGCTGTGATGTGCATGCCCGCTGAGCCGCCCTCCCTCACACTAACGTCTCTGATGTCATTGAAAAGGGAGGGGTTAAAGACAGAGGGGAAGCCGATAAGAAGAGGCAGGAAATCCCCCCCCAAAGCAAAAAATCTCCAACAGATACAGATTGTCCCTGCCAGGCATCCGTAGCAGCTCCGGTAAGACCTCAAGGCCAACCTGTCGGAGGCAGACTTCCTGGATCCACGAGCCTCTGAAACCCTCTGACCTCACCTCTTCACTCTGGAGCTCCACGAACTGTCAGGAACTTGTCAATCGGCCTTTAAACGAGCCAATGGGGCGTCAGTCAGAGCCATCAAACTTCAACAGTTTAAATAAAGAGTGACTGAGCTCAAGACCCGGAGCTGAGCGAGGGTTTCAGAGCCGTGGAGCCGGCCTCAGCCTCGTCCTCCTCTCTGGGCCAAAGGACGGCTTAAATTTGAAGGAGGGAGGGAGGAAGAGGAGGGGTTAGCTCTGATCTGACACAACGTCACCAGTCTGTGCTGGCCCAGAGCTGGAGGCCGCGGCCTAAGTCTGCCTGCGAGCTGACTGCTTTTATTCTGAAGGGGTGCTGAGAATGGCTCCGGAAACTTCTGCTCTGCCTTCTCCAGACTCCTCCTTACAGCACCTCCACACAAACACATTCTGTCCGGTGTCCTCCATCCATGCATGTGAGGGAGGAGAGCTCAGGTCCAGACCTGCTCCACACTTACTCTATTAAAGTCTGTTTCCACGCACAGCTTCTTTTTCACTCGGCTTTATGGTTAAAATCACGTTTAAGGGTTGGAGGAGTTATGGGGACGTGACTCCTGGGATTTTATTCTGAAAGTCAGAACAAACTGGAGCCTCAAAAACGTCCAGCAGAGGCAGCAGTGAGTCGGTCCCCATACACTCCCATGTTAGTCAGACATGTTTACAGCTTTGTCTCTGTAGGGTTTCCCCTTTGTAACACCTGGTGTCATACCTCAGTCGTTCGGCGTAGCTGTGTCTGTCAGACCTCAGTGTTTCTGTGTTGACGTGTTTGAGCTCCACCTGTTGCCCTCACGCCTGTCGCTCTGTGTCCGCCTGTCTCCTCGCCCGTCCCTTCTGTTTTTCTCTCTCAGCAAATGCGTCAGAAGAGCAAGCAGCTCGCCAAGATGGAGGCCACCCAGAAGCTGGAGCAGGTGAAGAATGAGCAGCGGCAGCAGCAGCAGCTCCTGGCCAGCCAGCGCCTCTCAGGCCCCCAGTCGCCTGAATCTGGCAGCCTCAGCCCCGTGCCCACCGGAGGAAGCGCCTCCCCTCACCCGGGTCTCAGGGAGGGTCAGCCCAGGCAGCACCTCCTGCAGGGAAGTTCTGGACCAGCGGACGACATCTTCCTCCGGCCTCAAGCACCGCCCCCTTCTGGCTTTTCCTCACTCCCTCAATCCCCACATCCCTCCTCTCCCCTCCACCAGCCAGCATCTTCCCCCCAGATGTTCTCTCCCCCCTCCTCCCGCCCTTCCTCACCCTGGGACCCCTACAGTAAGGTTATAGGCACTCCTCGGCCCTCCTCTTCCCAGTCTGGAGGCCCCGCAGCCTCCCAGCAACAGCATCACAGCTCCCTTAGCACCTCCCCAGCCCATGATGTCGTAGGCTCTCCTGCTCCATCCCCCGACTCCAAAACACCTGACGTCTTCAGAAGCCTCGGGCCACAACCAGGTAACCCCACCCCCGACCCTTCAGTCAGACATGCCGGCATCCGAGTGGCCGAAGCCTACCAGAAGACGAACGTGCGAGTCCCTGCGCCCGAGTCATGCAGTCGTCAACTGCTCCAGGGTGGTGTGTTTAAGGCCCCCATGCCCCCTCAGCAAGAGGCATTTGGTGGTGGAGGAGGAGCAGGGAGGAAGGACCTGTCAAGTTTTGCCCCCCCTCCTTCACAGGAGCCTCCCTTCCCCTCCAGTCCACTGTCAGGTCTGGGCTCCCCCCACCGTAGTCCCTACGCCCAAGCGCCCGGCACACCCAGACCAGATTACACTCAGCAGATGTCCGACCCCTTCACCCAGCAGTCACCTATGACCTCCCGGCCGTCTCCGGATCCCTACACCAACCCTCAGACCCCTGGCACGCCGCGTCCCCACTCTGACCCCACATACCTCACCACACCGCCTGCGCTGAGACCAGACCAGTACAACCAGCAATCCATGAGCCGCCGTCCGTCCCCCTCTCACCCAACCCTCGATCCCTACGCCTCCAACCCGGGCACACCCCATCCAGCTGTCATCGACCGCTTCCCCCGATCACCAGGGAGTCAGCGGGCCGGCGACCCCTACGCACAGCCCACAGGTACACCGCGACCCTCGCCGGATCCCTACGCCCAGCAGCCCTCTACACCACGACCCCAGAAGGCCCACGAGCCATTCAGCCAAACCCCAGTCGAGAGCTTAGCTCCTCAGCCTGCAGCTTCCGCTTCATCCCCTCTGGCTCCAGGAGACCCAGGGACCTTCACCCCAACGCCCCACCAGGTAACACCACAGCCCACGGCCTCTATTCTCTGCCACAGAGTAGCGTCTTCTTCTACTCATCTTTTCTCTGGTCAGTTACAGCAGTCACCAGGAAGACAACAACAGGACTCATTTCCCAGAACCCCCAGCAGCCACACCCCAAAGCACCCTGGGATATCAGAAGAGAGCTTCTCTACTTTAGCCAGTCACACTCCGGGTCACGATCCGTTTGAGCAGGGTCACATGACACCAGGCCGATCGCAAACTGACAAGATGGCAACCACTGAAATGTCTGCTTTAGACGGGTCGATGAGCGTGCTGCCTCAGCTTGGTGACTCAGGGGAGAAGCTGAGACAGGTGAGAGGTGTTGTGAGTCCATGTTTGTCTGGTCGAGTGTTGCTGGTTCTCGTGTGTTTAGCGAGTTCATCTGTCCTCCTGTTTTCTCTGCAGCGTCAACGGCTTCGGGAGCTCATCCTGAGACAGCAGCAGCAGAAGAGCACGTTACGTCAGGAGAAGGGTCTGCAGGAACCGGCTCCTGGACTTGCTGCACCCCCGGCTGCTCCGACAGGATCCTCCCCTGGTTCTGGCACACCTCTTCACAACTGGTCGCAGGACGACTCCTCCAGCTCCACCTCCACCGCTTCCCCAGTCCAGACAGACCCATTTGGGCGCCCTCCGCCCCCGTATCCTGGCACGATACGGCCTGCCGGGGCTCCAGCCCTGAGGTTCCCTGGAGGGTTCCCAGGAGAACAGCAGAGGGGTTTTGCGCCCACCGAGGCTTCTTTCCCCAGACAGAGTCTCCCCAGAGAGCTGGGTGTCCAAGGACCAGGATCGAGGTGAGAGGAGCAGAAGAGTCCTGGTTGAGATCTGATGGTTTTTTTGTGTGTTTGTGACTTACACTCGCTGCCCTCTACAGGTTTGGAGCTCCAGCTGGCCTCCATGACACTTTCCTGCGTGCACCCCTAGGATCAACGCCTGCCTCTGGGCTCGGTGCTGTGGAGGTTCGTGTTCAGATGAGGAGGCCAGTGCCCGGGGACTTCACCGCCATCCGTCCCCACGGGACTCCAAACGCTCACCCGCACATGATGCAAGGTCAGCACAGCTCCTCCGACTGGCCGATCAGTCAAAAATGTTGAAAATGAACTTGATTGATAAAAAAGTCTCTTTCCCCTCAGGTGTCCCCCAGCCCTTCCTCCCTCGCTCTCTCCCCATCCAGCAGCACAGCATCATGGGACAGCCCTACATTGAGCTTCGACATCGCGCTCCAGAGAACCGCCTGAGGCTGCCCTTCTCTCTTCCTTCAGACCCCCACCCACCTGCCATCAGACCTGGTCCTGGGGCCAGGATGGGTGAGACGCTGATGGCTCAGCAGATGATGATGGCAGGCGCCGTGGAGCAGCTGAACCAGCAGGATCCTCAGCAGGAGCACCTCGGCCACACGGCGGCTCTGACTCAGACCGGCGAGCCGGCACTCTCGGGAGCCGATGGAATCGAGGAGCACCTGGAAGGGGAGGACTCGGCTGTGAAGGACCTGGAGGATGTAGAAGTGAAGGATCTGGTTGACCTGAACCTGAACCTCGACCCTGAAGATGGTATGAGCGATCGAGTCCGGGTCCAGCTTATTTCACCTTGGCTAAATCCAGAAATTACACCTGTTCTGAAGCAAGTTACCGATCCTTCTTCAGCTTGACCGACTCGTCCTCTAACTCTGTTTCAGGTAAAGAAGACCTGGACCTGGGTCCCAATGACCTCCACCTCGATGACTTCCTGCTGTCGGGGAAGTTTGACCTGATCGCCTATGCCGACCCTGAGCTCAACCTGGAGGACAAGAAGGACATGTTCAACGAGGAGCTGGATCTGGGCGAGCCAGCGGAGGAGAAGGAGAGCGGAGAGAGGAAGGATGGAGTTTGTGGTTCTAGAAAGACCGACAGCAGCTCCCACCTGGTCGGACAGATCAAACAGGAAGTGAGGGACGACAGCAAGACGGGGGCAGCTCGACCTGGGGTCCTCGCCACCAGCAAACCCCCGGGAGCTCTAGGACTTGAGGTTTCCTCTGTCCATCACATCAAGGTGGGACATTTTCAATTTATCAATAATAAATATTAATCAATAATTAGTTCAATAAAGAGAACATAATAAATAACCCCCACTGCCTCCAGGAGAAGCTGGAGGACTCCGGTTCTGTTTCAGGGGCTTTGTCATCCCTCAAGCCCCAGGAGCAGGTGCCATCCATGGGCATGGTATCCAGAGTTCAGCCCCCTGTGACCACAGGTAAACAAACACAAGCCTGACCTGCCCCCCTCGTGTTATCGACCAATTGTTGGTCTAATCAGCAGATTTGAAATGGAAGAACTGTTTCTGATTGCTCTTCCTCTCCCAGGACAACAGCCTGTCTTCCAGCAGCAGCAGAGGCCTTTTGGGCCCCCCTCATCCTCGCCTCAACTCACCCCCCACCCTCAGGCTGTCTCAGTGTCTCCTCACACCAGTCTGCCTCCTCAGGCCCCCCAAGGCCCGCCTCACCCACTGCCTCTCCAGCCTCCTCACCTCCTCCTTACCACTCAGACCGAACCTCCACTTATGGGGACCTCCACGCAGAGCCAGACCCAGGGTACCTTTGCTCAGACCCAGGTCCAGAACCAGAACAAACAAAGGCCTCTGCTTCTGGAGGAGCAGCCGCTTCTTTTGCAGGACCTCCTGGACCAAGAGCGGCAGGAGCAGCAGCAACAGAAACAGATGCAGGCCCTGATCAGACAGCGTTCCACCACAGACTCTGCGTTCCTTGGTGTGGGTAAGTCCAGAATCCTGAAACTCCCCCTGAAGCACCATTGGACTGTGTTTCTCATGAAGCCCCTGCTGAACTCGTGTTCTTGTTTTGTCCTGCAGACTTTGATTCCATTACAGACCCCATCATGAAGGCAAAGATGGTGGCTTTGAAAGGCATAAACAAAGTGATGTCTCAGGGAAACCTGGGCCTGAATCCCGTGGTCATCAACAGGTATGACCTTCTGACCTCTGACCTCAGTGTTCTCTGTGAACGTTCCCTCTCTCAACTTCATTTGAAGTCTTTGTCTGTGTGCGCGTCAGGTTCCAGCAGCCTCCAGCAGCCCCAGGTCCCGAGGTCCCCCCTCAGCCTCCACACCTGGTATTACAGGTATGTTGAAGGACTCGGACACAGTAACTGACCACACAGGACAGAGCATTTCTCTAACATGTCTGCGGTCTTTCTCTGTGTCAGGAGGGGACGGTGACCCCTCAGCTGGTGCAACCCAAGCCCCCGAGCTTTGGCCCCGGGTTCAGCAGTGAGTATCAGAAACCAATCAGAGCAGCTTGAACAGGTACATTCAGAGCAGTGGTTCTAACACAAAGCCCGGGGAGAGCTTTATACGGTCACAGAATCTGACAGAGACCCACTGGTTTCGGTTTGTTGCATTAAAAATGACTGGAGTGGCTGTGTGTTTTACCTGGGTGGCTGCAGCTCCGTAGAGAGAGCAGTGTCTAACCCCGAGTTGTTCTTGAACGTTAGAAACGTGTGCTTGTAGGATCGATGAATGAGGCAAGTTGTATAAAGTGCTTTGAGTGCTCAGAGTAGAAATTTGCTAATTCAGTTTAAATGACCTATAATAACCTTCATATCCACACTTTCTAATCTCCAATTCAAACACAACCAACACGATGAAGAGGATCAGGCACAGAGGAGAAAGACCAGGAGCTCATTGATGAGCTCTGATCAGTTTACGCCTGCGTGTAAACGTTTAAAGTTCAGTTCTTCCTGGAGCCTGTGCAGACAGCAGAAACAGCAGCATGCGCTCAAAGTTTCTCTTTGATCGCATGCTGCTGTTTCTTCTCAGCCACGAAGTCAGATTGCTTCTTCTCCTCATCACTGAATTCCGACTCCTTCTTTTCCCAGATGAGCCCAAGCGGCCGCAGTACGAGGACTGGCTCGGAGAGACGCAGCAGCTCCTGCAGATGCAGCAGCGCCTCCTGGAGGATAAGATCGCTGCTCACCGCAAGACCAAGAAGGCTCTGTCAGCCAAACAGAGAACGGCCAAGAAGGCGGGCCGTGTCTTCGCAGAGGAGGACGCCGCCCAGCTACGCTACATCAGCGAGCAGCAGGGAGTGGTCCAGAAGCAGCTAGAGCAGGTAACGGAGCTGATCCCAGTGCAGAATAAATCCAGATTATCGGACTGAACTGAAGGTAGAGGCCGGCCGGGGGCAGCCAGTGAAATCTGTAAGGGACCGTTTTCAGGGGCCGGTGTATCCACAGTGAGTGCTTCTTCTCTGTGTCCAGATCCGGAAGCAGCAGAAGGACCACGCCGAGCTCATCGAGGACTACCGGACCAAACATCCTCAGAGGGGTCTGCAGCAGCAACCGGCACCCCCCCTCCCTCAGAAGCTGCTCTCACAGCCCATCGTGCCCCTGCAACCCCACCCGGGCGGCCCCGCACCGGCCCGTCTCCCAAATGTGCCTCCCGGTTGGACTCCAGGGGGTGGGGCTCCAGGGGTGATGGGGCAGAGGATGCCGCCTCATCAACCCCCTCAACTTCCCGCCGCCCTACCCAACAGCCTGCAAGTACCCCCACACACCCAGGCGCCCTCTGCTATAGTGCCGGGCCTCGCAGCTCAGACGGCAGGCTTTACTGCCGCCTCCCGAGGCCCCACCGGAGGTCCCAATGGAGCCACAGTGGATGGAGCTGGCCCTGCCCCTCAGGTAACAAACATGGCTGCTGCACCCCACTGTGATCTAGACCTGATCCAGAACCAGACTCGCATCATAAATCAGATGGGGAGGGGGGGAGACCTCAGCACAGGAGACCCCACAGGAAGTTCAGTCTAATGCCGGTCCACATCTGGATTTGTCAGTCCAACTTTTATGCATCTCTGAACATCTGTATTAGAAAAGCCAATGAGGGGGGGACCCTGCAGTAACACTGCTTCATGTGAGCTTAGGCTGCTCCTGGGCGCTGGCTAACCCCTCTGACTCCGCCTCCTCCACAGGTCAAGTTTGACGACAACAACCCATTCAGCGAGGGTTTCCAGGAGAGGGAGAGGAGGGAGAGGCTGAGGGAGCAGCAGGAGAGGCAGCGGGTTCAGCTCATGCAGGAGGTAAAACATCACGGAGGAGGAGGAGCAGAGCAAGCTGGGCCTCAGTCAGCAGAGCTCCTCCTCATAGAGCGCGTCCCCTCTGACTCCACAAGTTTCTGTTTACCCACAACATGAAGACGTTCATGCTCTCACAGCTGGAGCACGCCCTGGTTAGGAACCAGGAAGAGTTAAATGTAAAGAGGAGTGAGACGGAGCGCAGTGTGTTTCCTCAAACACACTCAGAGCATTAGACTGGAGTCGGTGTTAAAGAGAGTAAACCAGTTTAAGCAGATGGGTTTAGACTCTAATAAGGGAAGAGAGCCAGTATCGCTGAGTTCAGGAGGAGGTGAATCCCAAAGTCGGGGAGCAGAGCAGCTGAAAGCTCTGTTCCTCTTAGTGGTGAGATGGGAACAATGAGGTGAAGACATCGGTGAATGAAGGGAGTAAATGTGGAGTAAATCACACAAGTAGGGAGGGACCAGGTTGTGGATACACGTCAAAGTGAAGGAGACTCGAGCAGTGCAGCTGATGAAGAAGAGGGTGATGCGCTCTCTGGAGGCTGTGCGAGTTATGATCGCGAGAAATCAGAATTACAGTATCTGAAAAGTGACGAGGATAGGAGCAGCATGTGGGGCGAGGAAAGGAGGAAGTGCTGTCGAGGAGGACACCCAGACTGTTACCCTGAGGGGGGGTGGAGGTGTTGTCAGTATTAATGGAAAACCTGTAACCTGTGCTGACAAGCTTCAGTTTTACAGGGAGTGCAGAATTATTAGGCAAGTTGTA